CTAAGACCATCGGAAAACAAAAAGATATTTACATTACGATTCATAACAGTAGCAAAATTACAGTTATAGAGTAGCAACGGAAATAATTTTATGGCTGGGGGTCACCACAACATGAGGAACCGTATTAAGGGGTCGCGGCGTTAGGAAGGTTGAGAACCACTGCTCTAGGGCAATGGTCAGTGTCTGTCAAGTGCAGGGGCCTTAACCCAGGGCAGGAGACACTGCATCAAGAGTGAATTCTGAAAATGGACATATGACCTCAAAATTCCTAAACTTCACACTTGTTTTTCTTAGAAAGGAAGTTCACTGGGGTGGCTAAGAGTATGGGCTCTGGAGCTCAGGGTCTGTGGTTCAAACCTGTTTCGACCCTCACTAGATGTGTGACCTTAGCAACAGAGAGGTGTGCAGTTAGAACAGAGATCCCCAGCCTATAGTTTTGGACAAATAAAACAGCGCAATCGTTTGTGCATTGTGTGTGTGTGTGGTTATTTAATAGAGACCTTTAATTAAGACCATCCTGTGACTTCAGCTGCAAGCTTTATAAACACTATTTCAATATGCAGTACTCATTTGCACGGGAAGGATAATAATGCCATTGGATAGATGAGGAAACTGAGGTTCAAGAAGAAGGATTTGCCTCAATACACTGTAGTCAAGTGTCAGGGTCAGAACTGAAACTCAAGTCACCAGATTTCCCTGCCTCAGCATTGTTGACTGAAAAATGTCCCTCAGAATGATCACAGGGGAACAATCATCTTGGATGCAATAATATTTATTAATGGCAATAAATTAACCCTGGAAGACAGAATAGCACATTACACTGCGAGTACACAAAGACAAATCACAGGGGTAACAGAATCCAAAAGACTACATTCACTTAAGGACGTTTGGCCCTTTCCCTGCCGAATCCCTCAGGGGATGAGGCCTCCCCAGTGGGGAGATCCAAGAGGCACAGATTCACAGAATCTCAAAGCCGGCCCCGAAGGCTCAAATCGGTGCGTGGGACGCGTCATGGTCGAGGGGGTTCTGGAAACCAGAGAAGTAGAAACTGGTCCATGGTACGTGCGGGTCAGCGACTAAGGTGGACCCAAGACTCAAGTGTCTTCCTGCCAGACGCTACCCCTAGAAGACCTTAGGGCAATGCATCCCACGGAGATATCCCTACTTCCGGGGGACACGTTCTGGTCCTTGGAAAAGTACCCGCGCCTTGTGCACGCCGCGCAGGCGTCGAGGTCCGGCCGGCGGCGGCAGACAGTCTTCCGAGGCTCAGCAACCACTGGCTGGACCGGCCTGGACCAAAGGGCAACACAGGGCCGCTCCCGCGGCCACCCGCCTGCACCGCTGCGGGTCCCCGCGGAGCAGCTGCGGGATCAGAGACAAGGTCCTGGGTGCGCCACCAGCCTCAGGTCCCACGTGAGCAGGCGCAGGAGGTTGAAGATGACGGTGGCTTCGTGGCACCGAGGCGAGTCCTGGAATCCGCCAAGGAGATGAGCGGGGCTGAGGCAGCAATTTCTTCGCGAGAAACTGCCCTCGGCCCCTCACCGCCCGAGCCTCCCCTCCATCCCTCACCGCCCGAGTCTCGACTCCCGGCCGCTTCCACCTCCACCTCACACGGTCCCCGCTGCCGTCTACCCTCTTTCCGGCCCGCTCCACTCACAGCTCTCCGCGTTTGGGGACGCCTTCTAGGTGGCCGGAGGGACTTCCTCCAGGAGCCTGGCCGCACCAGCTCGAGCTGGAGAGGAGACAGCAGGTAAACGAAAGAGGCGGAGGACCGAGCCTCCCACCGACTCAGCCCAAGACCCTCCCAGACGCAGACCAAAGCCCGGATCTGGGGACACCGAGAGGACGCCAGTCGTGTCTGGTCCGTTTGGGGGCCCAGCGGCCCAGATCTCGAATCGTGCGGCCTCGCGGTGGAACAGGAGCGCGCAGAGCGACCTGGGGGAGTGGAGGGGACCGGCGCGGGAGATACTCACACAGGCCGCCACGTCCCGCCCCGCGGCCGCTAGCAGCTCCAGGGTCGGGACGAAGCCGGGGAACAGCTCGGGGCTCGGCAGTCTCTTCAGCACGGCCTGGGCGTCCGCGAGGCCCCGTGCCACGAGGCGGAGCCGGGCGCATGACTGCCGGGACCCGGCGGAGTTAGAGAAGGCTGTGCCCCGGGCCTGCGACCCCTCCCCCCACCCCCCACTGCCCAGCCGCCGCGCCGCGGGCCTCACCGAGGGTCGCGGGGGATCCCTCCTTGGGCGGAAGGAGCAGTTGCGCGGCCTCCAGCTCAGCGTCTCTTCCTCCTGCGGGACAAGGGCTGAGGTGAGGCTGAGCCTCCTCGCCGGGGTCCCTGAAACGCTGGCACATCGGGGATTCCTGGACGTGAACTGGGCGGGTCTGGTCCGTACGGTTGTGCGTGTTGCGCACCCAAGCACGGAGCTGTGCCAAGGCGGGAACGTGGACTGAAATGCACCCCCTTGTCGAGCGCTGCTTCCCAACGTGAACAGTTTTGGCTCGGATGGGCCTCCCTTTTGTGACTGGCACAAGGGCCGTGTCTGTGCTTAGGGCGCCGGTGACCCGGAAGATCTCGTGCCCAGAGTTCTGGACCCTGACATCTGAGATGCGCCTGCTGGGCGCTAGGATGCCGGGGCCCTCGGGACAGGGCCTGGCGTCTACTGTCCCAGCGGACCCAGGGTTCCTGGGAATGGGGCATGCTGAGCATCACTCACGTAGCGGTCCCTCAGCGCCTTGACCGCTGCCAGCGCCCTGGGCTCCAGCGAACGGTAGTGCGAGAGGAGGCAGCGCCGGGGCGCAGCCACGCCTGGGTCCGCCTCCACGCTGACTGTCACCAAGACCCACAGCCCCACGGCCACCGCGGCGGCTCCACTCGGCCGCATCTCTGCTCCTGCAGGTGGCGAGGGACGTCAGGGAGGCCGAGGGGAAGCCCCCTGAGTCCAGCCCCCGCCTCTGGTTGGACTCGCAGAGGGACCGATGCTCAGCGCGCTGGCGCTGAGCACCCGCAGGGGAGACATGCGGTGGGCCCCGAGACCCCTCGTGCCCTCAGTGCTCACCTGCAATGTGCCCTGGGCGCCTTGTGCTGGAGCGGGGCCTGCCTTCCACTGTCCCCTGAGAGGTGTCCAGAGTTGTGTCGACCTTCGACAGCGGTGCCTGCCCGCTTCATGGCGGCTTTTTATGTGCCGGACTGAGAACCGGTGATCGTCCGGCCGGGCTTCCCCGTGCAAGTTAAGCTTTCCGAACATCAGCGCTGGCCGCTGGCCTGAGCATGAGGACTTTACTCAACATAGGGACGGTGCCAGCTATGGCTCCCACCCAACTCTCTATCCTGAGCCAATAATTTGTCAGTTTTCCCGACATCTGTTTGTCTTTCAGCCCTGTTGGTCTTTTTTTGCACTCTAGGAATGAACTGAAAACGCACCATTTACTTCTCTTGAAGATGCATACCTGGAAGAAGTCCCCATAGAGGGGCCTGCCTGGGTGGGGTTCATAATGGGATTTCTAGTGTTGTCTTTTTCTTCACTCTCTTTCATTACACTACTGTCTGTCTCTCCCTATCTTTCTATTATTCTCTGTATGAGTATTTCCCCTTCTGTGCTCCCTGGTTATTCCTCATCTGAGTTTGACAAACTGTCTCTGACTTCCTTAGTCAGTTATTAAATGATATTTATTCCTTTACCAATTATAGTCCTGAGCTGCTTAACTATGGGGACACATTATGACAAATGTGTCATTAGGCAATTTCGTTGTACAAGCATCAGAGAGTGCACTTCCACACACCTAGATGGTGTAGCCTACCACATACCTAGGCTGTATAGTACAGCCTATTGCTCCCAGACTACAAACCTGTACAGCATGTTACTGTGCTGAATACTGTAGGCAATTGTCACACAGTGATAAGTATTTGTGTATCTAAACATATCTAAATATAGAAAAGGCACAATAAAAGTAGAGTTTAAAAAGATAAAAAATGAGGGCCGGCCGAGTGGCGCGATGGTTAAGAACTGGCTTGGGACGCCAGAGGACCCCGGTTCGGATCCCACATATGAGGGCTAGTGACACTGCCCTCCACAGCTAAGATGTTGAACAACAGCTCAACCTGGAGCTGGGCTGCTGTGAGTTGCCATCGAAGGCGTAGGCTGCAGCCCCTGTGGCAGTGGGTTGCCAT